TGGTAGCTTTCAAATTTGCATGAACATGCAAACATGACTCTATAAATAGAGTGATCGTAATACATGAAAGGTCTTCTTGTTGGTGAAAAACCTTGAGAAAAATCTCTCACAAACACTCTGTTCATATATACAAAATCCCTCTCAAGTTTAGTCACTTACCGGATTCCACAATCCCGTTCTAAGGTCGGATGATAGTGGAGAAGACACTAGTAGTGGTTCGAAACCGGTTCGTGAGAAAAAATGAATTTAAATTGCAAAAGGTTAATATTCAAACTCATTAAATTTTAATACTTATGAACATGCTAGCTAATTTATTATAATTGATGTTCTAAAAGTGCCTAAGATCAAAATTGCTTCTGCATGTGTTATATTAACACTATTAATATTATCCGACATGCTTCTTTATAAATGGAATATTAACAACTATTTTGAAATGTTTTTCAGTTTTTTTTTAATATATTTTTTTTATTATTTTTATATCATAAATTTTATTTTTTTTCTTTGAAATAGATGAAAAAAAGTTTATTTAGGATTTGAATATATTTCTAAACATTAACTGTCACAATTTAAATTGATTTAATTCTTTATTAATTATAATATAACAAGAAAAAAAAATCAATTTAGATAATATTTACAAAACTTCTATTAAGAAGAAAAAATAAATTATCAGAATAATTAATAATATTTGGTTGAATTATTTGATATTTAGTCAATATTTTATTTGGGCATGGGGAAATTGCTGAAATTTTTAGATTTTTTAGGGGTCAAAATTGAGTGTTTTAAAACCCATGTCTGCAAAATATAAATTTCATGAAACCTAAGGATATGGCTGCAAAGAAAGAAGTGGGGAAGGTCTGTAAATAGAAGTAAATATGGGGGCTAACAGCCAAAACGAATAAAAAGGGTTATAAATTGGGTCTGCGACAAACCAATCATGACATGCCCTAAAAATAATAAAGGGACTTGTGATTCCTTGCCTCATCCATCCACCTCTTAAATTCATCCACAACTTGCCAATTTGTACTTAAAAAACTTTTTTTTTTTCAAATCAACCCCTTTAGTTTTAATATTTCACGATTTTGGTTTAAAACAACGTTAAACTATAAATTTAGTCCTCGAACAATTCAACTATTGTTTCTAAATCAACCCATTTAGCTGTATTATTTCATAGTTAATGCTTAAAAACGCCTTAACTAAACCTAAAAGTTAATTACTCTTTATATCTTCTCAATTCAGATCGACGTAATAGACAAACACATGACTCAACATCTTAAAAAATTGATTATTTTATTTTCATTTCTACATTATTATTAAATTGAAAAAAGTTACAATAATAAATTTTATAGTATACTTAATCAAGATAATATAATGTCAATATATACATAACTAGAACATTAAGGTAATTAGTTTGCTTGGGCTATAAAGGGAGGGCCTCACTATAATTATTTAGGGTTAAAATTAAAAGGGGATGAAATTACTGAAATGGCCCACAGGGGAAAAAGGAGATGAAAAGGGTAAGGGAAGGGCAAAAAAGGGAATGGAAAATAGAGAGGGGGCCTTTTTCTGAGGTCATTTATAATGATTTCACATAATAATAATAATAATAATAATAATAACAAAGTGCTGCATGGCTAATGATTATTTTTTTTACATTATTACGGGTTAGTAAGTGCAATGAACCCTACACGTGAGTTACCCTTTTCCTTTTCTTTTTTTTTTTGGACCACACGTGTGGATATTTTAATTATAGAATTTCTTAAACTCCACACTCGTACCACATTTCTTTTCGTTTTTTTTTTTGAAGTATTTTATTTTTAGAATTTTAAGAATTAAATTTATAACTACTAATTATTTTTTTTTGTTATTTATTCTTAAATGTATTTTCCAAAATTCAAACCAATTTTTAAAATTTTAAAAAGCTATTTTTGAAATTTGATTAGGAATTTAAATGCAATTATAAGAATGGTAAAATATATACATACTTTTAAAAAAAAATAAAAGTAAGACTCGGATTATTTTGTTGATCGAATATCTTACTTGTTTGAGATTCAAATCACTTAACAAGTAAAAATTGATCATGTCAAGCATGATTCTTCATACAGCCTAAACTACATAGAAAATTATAAAGAAACATAGACATTGGTCAAAGGAAAACACAAATACTCATTACTCCATTTTCCAAGTCTCTTCTACAAAGATAACGTACATGACTTTATACAGCCTCAAAATGAAAACTCTTAACCTTCTATGCGTCATTCCAAAAGTTGTAACCTGCATACTTATGACCCTAATTAACCACTATATTTTATGACCATAATTAGCCACAGTGTAAATAACCCTAATTAACCACTATATTTCATGACCATAATTAGCTACTATGTAAATAAGTCTTAAAATACCTAAAGAAACCACATAGCAATAAATTATCATCCACCCAAAATTTGTAGTCATAAATAGAGCTTGATTCTTTTTTAATGTGACTTGAATTGCAACATCTTGTGATAATTTGAACATTTTCTTCCCATCTTAGTGGATTTAGTGAACTTCAAGTTTGAATTAGTTATGGAATATATGATATTTGTAATCATTTAATATCTGGAAGAATATATTAGTTAGGAAATATATTTTAGATATTTGTAATCAGTTAAATTTGAATAGTAGTATATTTTATTTTATTATCAAGATTTAGTTAGTTTATATTTTCTTTGTAGATATTATTTAGTATCTTGTGTGAAAGGTTGTGAATATCAATGAGATTAAGAACCTTCGATTCCAATTCTATTTTTTATTCTTAGATCTGTATTTTTTCATTGAGTAATAATATTTTTATATCTACTCACACTTTTGAGTGGTAGATATTACGTCAGTGATAATTTGAACATTTTCTTCCCATCTTACTTAAATTTTATTTTATATGATTGATGTTTTGGTTCATATCACTAGATCTCCTATCTGGTATATGATTTAATAATTTTTATTGAATTTAAAATTAAATTACAAATACTCTCTTTTCACTTTTAAGTTTGTGTTGGTTGGTTTATTTTTTTTTTAAAAAAATCTAAAAATGTTTAAACCTATTAAAAAAAAAATTAAATGCGAGCAAAAAAAAATAAAATAAAAAAAATAATTAGTTAATAAAAATGTGAAATCTTGAAATAGAGACAAAATAGAAACTATGAAGGGTAAAAATGCAATATTAAAAAATAATAATAATAATAATAATAAAACCCCATACAATTCAAACTCAATCCCAAGCGAAGATAAGGTGGAGTTTCCTTTCTAGGAGGTTAGACAACTTTTAGGATGTCCAGTCCACTAAGTTTTTCTGTTTAAAAGAATGAAGCAGCTAATTCCCATTTGCTTCCCAAAATCTAATTTGTGATTATGATCCATCACCAATCTAAACAAAACTTGACAACAGCCGAACACCACTTTCTCATATAATCATCATTCTAACTCTAGATCGCTAAGAAGTCAATTCTAGCTTTGCCAAGCCCACTAATCACACTAAACAACTGTTCTAGACATGCTACATTTGGTTGCCAAATAAGTTTCGTAGGACTTCAAATTCTTGGTAGGTGGCCAAACTCATTCCTTCTATACTTTGTTTTTCATTGGCCCCGTTAACCACTACTAGGCCGGCTCATAGTGTTAGTACTCTTCCCAAATCATAACCCTATAAATCAAAATTAACTTATATCCTATCCATTCGTGTGTATCTCAATTAGTTAAGAGTGTACCATCAATCAAGAAGTCAAAGGTTTGAATTTCATCTCACCACGTTGTTCAAGTTTCTTAAATTTATCCTAATACACCTACCAGAGCAAGGGGATGGGACAAGCAAGGAAGTTTCCAAGTGTCATCTAGATGAGATCAAGGTGGGGGCATAACGAAGAGATAGAAGTCAAATTCAAACCCTTTTTCTTTTGCTTTATAGCCTTTTTATCAATTACTTCAGCCCATTGCTGGGTTCACTTTTTTGGTGTTTTAATAATCCTGTTAAGATTTTGCAAATATTAAACAGGCACCATAGATTGTTTATACTGATTACCAAAGAATAAAATCCAACTTCTTTTACCCAAAAGATCTATTAGGAGAAAGAGTTCCTCTCAATATTCCGGCTAATCCGCCATCAAGATACCTCTACTTGATTTTCTCACCTCCATATCATCCTTTTTTGGTCACTAGTAGACATTGTCCTCTTTGAGAGAGGTTTCCACACCCTTGTAAAGAATGTTTCATTCCCCTCTCCAACCTACCTCCCAAGCCTATCACTAATAAATATTGTCCTCTTGAGCTTTTCCTTTTAAGCTTCTCCTCAATGTTTTGAAACGCATCCGTTAGGAAGAAGTTTCCACACCCTTGTAAGGAATGTTCCGTTCCCCTCTTCAGTTGACGTGAGATCTCACAAAAGGAGAATCAATAATGACTTTTGTTTAACAAATTGGATCCTCAGCATTTTCTAAAGCCTAAATAGTGATCCAACATTTTCTGTCCATGAGAAAAATTTGAAAAATTTGACTTAAAATAAATAGGTGTGTTCATTAATAGTTTCAGTGGATCATCTTATTTGAACAATTCTGTCCATGAGAGGCTAAATGACACCACAATAGGATCATCTTCAGTGACTCGACCTTATTCATCTCTTATTTTCTTGGTCATGACTTTATAATAATAATATCCATTAATTTAATACACCCATTTCTAACCAGTAAGCTTTTAGCCAGCATCAACACAATAAGAAGATACCTAAGCACATAATATTAAGGGGAAGAAAGGTCTCCTCATAAGATCATGCTATTATATAGAGAGCTTTACAAAAGATGTATGATAAGGGAAAAGCAAAAGGCATTTACTTTATCCAGTGATTAATAAGGCCAATATATTTCTTTATCCAGTACAAATGAGGGGCCACCATTCTTTGTTCACATTCATTTAATAGGTGGCCACAATTACTCAAATAATTTAATAGGAAAGTAGTTAACATCAGAGCCACAGTCTCAAAAATAAAGAAAATGACATTAGTATACTGAACAGACATCCTTATGAATCCAATATGATATTGCTTATATTTTAGGAGGCATAAAAAAGTGGCAAGGATATCAATGATTTGCCATGGATATATAATTGCAAGCTATTGATCAATGGCATATTGAAAAGCAAAGTGAAAATAATTGTGTTTGTGAACAAGATTCAACCTGGCGACAATGGGAGTCTCATTTGGCTTGTGAATGGGGGCCGCAATGTTGTCAACTAGATGATCTGTGATTACAGCTTTCTCAACTGCATATGTCAGGAATTTCAGCTGTGATTCTTCTTTTAAAGCCATAATCACTCACCATTGTCCTATGCAGTCAAATGCAAGATGAACAACAACAAAATGAGTTATTGCTGCTTTTTCAACAACAAAATGAACAATATTCTTCACATCATTAAACATGTTAATGAATAGAAAATGAGTTATTTCTGCTGCCTCATATCGATTATGGTTGAAATATGGAGTCATGAACATTATTTCCTAACGATGTGCAAAACAACATAAATCAAAAAAGATAAATTGTAGCATTCCTATTTCAAAAAGCTTAAACAAGACTAAAACACAAGAAGGAACCAAAGAATATTATAGTCGAGGTGTGCGCAAACTGACTCAAACACTCGCGGATATAAAAACAAAACAACCACAAGAATTTCCCATTAAGCTATTCAGAAAAAGTGACCTCAGATCAAAGAACTATATGTTATTCTCTGTTTGATTAAAATTGGCTAATTTACTAAACTCCTGCCTAACAGAATAAAGATGAATCTACTGAATTGACTGCAAACATTCAACTCTTGGAAGTTGAAAAACAATCGAGTATCAACCATGTAGCAAATGCAGACAGCTAACCTATTTTAAGTTTTATTCAGTGAAGAACAAGAGGACCTAATAATTTGAATTTTTGTTATCTTGAACCATGCTAATACTTAATAGTTAAATAAAGAAATCGACGCACTAGCAACTAGAAGAACTTCCACAAAAGAAAGGTAAGCATCCAAACTCTATCTTTAAAGCATGCAATGAACAAGCCCAATACGTTGGGCATTTGAGAACTCTAAACCATGCAATATGAGCACAAAACTTCGTCTCTTCTTGTCTGACCTTCCGAGAACATGCCACAAAGGTCCCTAATAGACAAACACAAAACCTCCAGATTGGAAACATAAAATTCTGATCCATACTTTTCTTCTGCTGTTCATTTTACAAAACTTCCATTAATCTTAAACTAGAATCTGCAGATTCCAATTCGCATGAACAAACGAAATCACATGAGATTCGATACGCAATGAAGAGAAAAATTCTTGAGCTCAAATTTCAGAAGATCGAGATCAAAGAAAATCGCTTACTGTTTTTTTCCAATTGACAAACTTGATCGGGAGAAAGCCCTAGGATTCAACCCTCATTGCACTGAAGGAGCCGAAACCAGACATTGAACTCGGCCGTCGAAATTCGAATTCCAGAGCACCAATCAAACGCCGCCGTCTATTCCCTCCCTCCTACGGGCGGGAAATATTGGGCTTGAGTATTGGGCCACCCCCAATTATTTTAGCCCAAAATGGGCCTACTCACAATTACATTTTTAGCCCGTTCATCCTTTATATTATATTTTTATTAAATATGTTTTAATTTATTTAATTATTTATCATAACATCCCCTAACTTAAATGGTAAGCAATTGATGTATTTTCTCATAATTTAAATTTAGATTCCTTTGTGTACATTTCTAATATAATATTCTCACAAACTTTATACTAAGTGACTTTTTTTTAATGTAAATATAAATTAAATATATTCGGATTCGGTTTCCATTAAACCCTTTTATTGTACACATTAAATATATTACATATTTTTAAATATTAACAAATTTATTAAACATTATTTTTCTTTTTTAAACTTAAATGGCTGGCTCACATGTTTAAAAGTATATTTATAAAATAAATAAATAAATAAATAAATAATATTTTATAATATATATATATATAAATGTTAAGAACAATGGCCGACCCAAAGAAGCCTTAGACGCCACAACATCGAAGCACGATGTTTTAAACGTCGCGTAAAAAACTAGCAGAAAATGGAGCGGTTGACGTAAGAATGGTGAAGGGCAGGTGATTTTATCATGGGCAGATTACTATATAATCCATTAAAGAGAGTGAGGTACAGTTTCATTTGGAACATTTGGGTAAAGAAACAACACAACTTCAAAGAGATTCCAATTCCAATTCTAAGCTCCTTTAATGGACTCCAAAAAGCTCCTCTGTTTCTCTCTCCTCTGCTTCTCTCTCCTCCCAGGTTCTCCACTTCCTCTCTCTAAAACCCCCTCTTTCCCTTCCTTTCTCTCTCTAGAATATAATTTTTAAATTTGTTTTTGGGTTGCAGAATTATATGGGGTGGTTTGGGTTTCTGCTGGCGGGGTTGGCCACCGTCATCGCCACCGCGTGCGGCGGAGTGGGCAGAGGCTTGGTGGAGGGGAGCTGTCGGATTCGAATCCTAGAAAGCTGTTTGTGTTTGGGGATTCTTATGTGGACACCGGAAATAACCGGAAACCGGCGGCAAAATCTTGGCAGTATCCTTATGGAATTACTTTTCCCGGTAAACCCACCGGCCGTTTCTCCGATGGCCGTGTTTTGACCGACTACCTAGGTAACTCTGAAAATCTTACCACCTCTTTCTGTCTGTCTTGTTCTTTGGTGCGTCTCTGAATTATTAATTGTTTTGCATTTATTTTAAGATTAATTTTATTTGGATAATTATGAAATTATGTTATTTGAATAATCATTTATTTAGTTTTTTATTAACAATTTTATAATTAACATTTTTTAGAAAAGGAAAAAAAAAAACAAAAATTATAATGAAAAAAAGGACTAAAGTAGTGAAGAAGGCTCTTTATATTTAAAAACAAAAAGAATTAAAATGGTATGATTATAGGCAATTCTAAACACAAAATAATATTTAAAATGATTTAAAAAATAATAATAAAGATAAATTTACTTTAGTTTTATTGACACAATGAGAGGAAGAAAGAGCTTGAATTTTGCTTTAAAACTAAAATAAAAATATAAATAGAGGTGGTGGCCCACTCCACATTGCTATTGTATTATTATTATTATTATTATTATTATTTTTCCTTTCAAAATAATTTATTATTAAACACTTTAAATAGCACATTTTTCCTTTAATAAAAATTAAAACAGGCTTAAAAAAAAAGTACCTCGTGGCAATAATTTTTTTAAAATTTTATGTAATTTAAAAATTATAAAATTATATCATATCTTATCTATTTATTATTGAAACATTTAAACTCTTATCTAAATTCTTTTTTTTTTCAAAATTAATGAGTGATTTATAAATTTCATAAAGTAAATAATAAAAAAATAAAACAAGTTCACAAATAAATAATATATTTTAAAAGTTAAATGGAAAATAATGAAATAAATTTAAAAAATCAGTGCAAAAGGAAGTTTATTTTTTATTTTTTATTTTTTATTTTTTAATTTTAGTCAGAGCGTGGCACTTTTTGGCTGTAAAAACTCAAGACCGGCTGCATTATGAAGTCGGCTTTTTTTATTTTTTATTTTTTATTTTTATTTTTTGGGGATGGCTGTGTCTTTTGAGCATGTCAGTTTAGCGTAACCCTTTTCCTTTTCCCTGACAGTCAGTCTTTATCTTCAACTTCACTGCATCTTTTCCTATGTCATTTTCCCCCTTTTTTTCTCTCGATTTTATTTATTTTTTAATTATAGAATATATATTTTAATTTGACCAATTAAGGTATATTCTAGAATTTTTTTATTTCTTGTGTTATTAAAATGTCGGTGGAATTAAAATTGGGTTTAATTAAGAATTGAGTTTAAATATATTGGAATTTCACATTATTTTTTTTAATTAGTTTATGGTTCATATAATTTATTTATTTATTTTATTTTGAATGAATCATAAAAATTGGCTCCATTTCGCGGCGCCATTGGGTGATTGAATCTTGTGTGTGCAGCCAAGTATCTGAGAGTGAAGTCTCCGATTGCGTACAAATGGCGGAAAGTAGGGTTAGGGCAACTGAAATACGGGATGAATTTCGCGTACGGCGGCACCGGCGTTTTCAATACCTTTATAATGAGCCCTAACATGAGCACTCAGATCGACTTCCTCCAGCAGCTGATCCACGAATCGACGTATACCGCCCAAGATTTGCATTACTCTGTGGCGCTGATCTCCCTCGCCGGCAACGATTATGGCGTCTACCAGGCCACTGACGGCTCTGCTCAGGTTTTCCCCAACACTTGTAACGTATAATTTCAACTCTAGGAATGATTTTTTAGTCAAAATATAAGAAGTTGAGCAAAGAATTTGGGGATTTTGTATTGAGTTTGGCGTGTTGGTGGCAGGGGTGGCAGCCATTTATAACGAAAGTGGTGAACCAGCTGGAGGTGAATTTGAGGCGCATCCATGGGCTGGGGGTTCCAAAGATAGTGGTGACGTCTCTGGAGCCGCTGGGCTGTCTTCCTAGCAGCACAGTTGCATCCTCATTCCAACAGTGTAATGCTACTGAGAATCTGCTTGTCAATTTCCACAATCTGCTATTGCAGCAATCTGTGGCAAAGCTCAACAGTGAAGTAAAAGATGCCTCTGCATCCACTTTCATCCTTCTTGATCTGTATTCCTCTTTCATGGCTGCTCTCAACAACAAAGGAGACCCTCTTGGTGACTCTCTTGATCTTTTGATCTTTTTTAGTCCACTAATTCTCTTATGCTCCTTAAAACTTGTTTAGTCCCATTGATTATTCGAAACCCACATGAGAGCTGACATTCTTCAACTAAAACACCCCTGATCTACCATCTTACCAGGATTTGTCCTCATGAGTCGGCCTAATTGTCAATATCAATAAGAACCTATGTCAATAGTAATGGGTTAGAGCAAAAGGACATCCCAATAAGTCTTGTGTCCTCCTGCAAAGGATTCAGGCTTTGGGGGCCACATGCTTATGATTTAATATCCTATTTGACAGCAACTATATAGTAGGATTAGACATGTGTTGTTTAAGAATAGTAAGGTGCATGTCTGCTGGTTTAGATACTCATATATATTTAAATAAAAAGACTGATTTACATGAATGGACAACAAGATCGTGACATTGTACGTGTTTGCTATTGGACAAATGTGTAACAACCAAAGCCTTCCGCTAGCCGATATTGTCCTCTTTGTGCTTTCTCTTTTGGGTTTCCCCTCAAGATTTTTAAAACACGTCTAGTAGGAAGAGGTTCACACACACTTAAAAAGAATGTTTCATTCCCCTCTTCAACCAATGTGGGATCTCATAGAATGTGACTTCTTTTAGTTAATTTGGCTCTCCATTTCTAAGAAGATTGTGTCCGAGATCTGGTAAACTAAGCCTTGGTTCTTCTGGAAATAGGTTGATTTTAGCATATTAGAGACTACAGCTGGGTTCCCTTGACAAGCTAGACAAAGTGACACCTGCTCCTTAATTATTCTGGCTTTTGGTTGTAATCCCTACAAAAGGTTTCCGCTCTGTAAACTATGCTTGGTACCTCTTAGGTCTCGTCTCAAAATATGGTATAGATTAAGATTCTTGCCTTCCATCACGAGCTAGAAAAGGGTCAATTGACTGACTTGACACTCCTCCATAAGAAGCCCACAAGCACACCTCCCTTTAAAAGTTTATAGGGTGTTTTTTAAGTGCTTATCATGTTTTGTGCAGGGAACGTGAAATTTGAGAACCCATTGAAGCCATGTTGTGTTGGAATAAGCAGCGAGTATGCATGTGGGAATGTGGGTGCTAATGGGGAAAAGAAGTACACCATATGTGAAAATCCAGGAGCTGCATTCTTCTGGGACGAAGTGCACCCTTCTCAAAATGGCTGGTTCGCTGTGTACTCAGCATTGCAAGCAAATTTAAAGCAGCTCTAAGCTTTAAATTACATAGAAATCAGATAAGTGACCCCCCAATTTGACAAGACATTTCATTCATTCAATGATCATCTGTCTTGTAGTATTCAAATAATATTTGGCATGGCCCCTTTGCCTCTGCTCTCTGATTTGCTTGTAGGTATTCATCTTTCTCTCTCTCTCTCTCTCTCTCTCCCCCCCCCCCCCCCCCCCCCCCCCCCCCCCCCCCCCCCCCCCCCCCCCCCCCCCCCCCCCCCCCCCCCCCCCCCCCCCCCCCCCCCCCCCCCCCCCCCCCCCCCCCCCCCCCCCCCCCCCCCCCCCCCCCCCCCCCCCCCCCCCC